GGTAAATCCCCAGCTCACATAAATTGTCATAGCTCCATAATTTCCAGGCAAATGTATACTAGCCCTAATGAATCTAGAATAATTTATACTAGCTGAGGATCTGCTCTTTGGATTAATTAGATTTTAAAAGAAAACTCTTTCTTCCATAAGATACTTCAAGACCTAGATTTAGAATTCTATCATTTAAAAATGTGAATAAATTTTATGAGTTTTTGTTTAAAAATCCTCTAAGATAAATGTAAACTATTTTGTTTGATATGTATGAGATTACTGAAAAATTCATAGTAGCATTACAGTACCATAAAATATCACTACTGTAATACATAACTTTCAGTTTAACATAATAATAAAGGCCATGTTATCAAGTGCTTTGACACTTTAAATAATTGTTTTGATATGTAAAATAATCATTTATGTGCCTACCTGACAGAGTGAGTGAGTGTACATAAGATTAGGCTATTCTATTGAGGCACCTTGTAAAAGGGCTCTCACCTCGTAAGCACCTTCTAGTGCAGGACTAGGCAATAACATGGTGGTAAATTTCCAGTGTTAGCTCCTTGCAGTTCACCATTGCTATATTAACCTGTGCCTCCACTGATATAGGCTCCTGGTAATTGCAGAGGATGACCGTTCCTGGCCAATGGGAACTGCGGGAAGCGGCACAAATCAGAACATCACTTCCTGCAGCCCCCATTGGCTGCGAATGGTGACCCATGGTCAACAGAAGCTGCTATTGCCCATACCCGCAGAGGCAAAGGTAAACATAACAGTGGCAGCCCTCCCGGGGCTAACCCTGGCGTACCTGATCTGGCCTGCAAACTGGTTTTTGCCCACCCCTGTTCTAGTGGTTGAACCCCTGCATGCTGCTGGCCAACCTTGCTGTGTCTTTAGTTGCTTGACCATGTGGCCAAGTCAAAAAGTCCTAAAGAGTTCCTACCAGATATGAAAGAGTCCAATGACTAGACAGTTTACTTGCCTTTGGTAGGGTCTTCATCCCTGGCTTTGGGCCCTTTAAATTTTGGTGCACTGTTTGGGCTCCCAATAAGTGGTATTTATGCTCCCAAATAAGTGGTATTTATGCCACTTTACAACTGGCCAAAAAGGGAACCGGAGCCTGGCCCCACCTAAGCATTCTATACTTGTACTATTCATGTACTGGTTATTTCAGTCCTCTGCTGCAGTTCCCTGGGCCACCTCTGCCTAGGCCCTTTACTTCCAGCTCCATCTCAGAGCTAATGTATGCAATCCCAGAGTAAGTGCAAACTGCTATAAAACTCTATCTTTGTCAGGCACTTTTTGTCAGAAAGCAGCACCCTTCTTTAATCCTCGGGTCAGCCAGCAACTGATCTGCTAAGTCCCGCAGTTTCTTGTAGCTGACCCTGCTGGGCTTTGATTGGCAGTTGCTTGCCCTTCTAGCCATTGTAGAAGTCTCTCTAGCTTCCAAGCTAGCTTCTACGATGAGGCCTCACTAAACAGGCCTGGAAGACTCATCTTTGCTGCCTTTTCCTCCTACCTTACTGATTCTTGTGGCACTGGGTAGCAGAGCAGTGGGACCTCCGGCATGGGGCTATGAAGGCCTAGTACAGCCCATCATACCCCTTTACTCGAAAATAACTTTAGCATATTTATTTCAAAGTTAACATCATCCATATTTAAGAATAACTTTATAGTAAATTACTTTCCATAATGATCATGAAGAACCTGGCACATGATTCAGAGGTTCATAATGCAGAAAGTCCAATTTATTCACAAATTTATGAAATTCACCTTTGTGCAGAAAACGACATGCAAGGCCTGTGCAATACTCAAAGTCTTATTTTGAAGTCTTTCTTGGGATTTAAGTGATTCATAAGTTTGGACTGGTGTTCGTCCCACAAATTATTTTTTTTCCAGGGTCATATTCAAAACTTCCCATTCAATAAGCCTCAAATTTCATCTTTGAACTGTGATATTTTCTTATTAAAAGACCAACAACATTATGCCTGTGGATTTACTTTTTCAGTAAAATGATGCCACCATGGTAATAACATACATAAGAACTAATTCAAGGCTGCTGTGATACTTTGCTGTAATATGGTGAAAATACTCTCTAACCAACGTCCAAAGATCAATAATTATTTGTTGACTTTTTTTTGCCAGTTGTGGAGCCCGAATGTGAAAAAAGCTCTGCTACCACTTATTACTGGTACAGAGAAGCGCTGAATATTTCCAACTCTCTCTCAGAGAGTGGGGGTCTGAACTGGAAAATGACTCTGTGCTTGCTGGCTGCCTGGGTTCTGGTAGGCCTAGCAATGATCAAAGGCATTCAGTCTTCAGGCAAAGTGAGTATATTCCTTAATTACAGTATTTTACTTTTCTGTACATTCTTACTTGTCATTTTCTTCGCCAATCCTCATAAAAACATAGGATCATATGTCACATAGACAGAATAAAGGTGACTCACCTAGCATTTTTATAATCTCAAATTGAGAACTGTTGATACTTAAGCATTAAAACTGGAGACCTAATGTTTGGTTATAAAGAGTGAGAGAGTGCTGAAGTCTGAGAACCCTTTTTGTTTTCATTCAGGTCATTTTCACTTTCTTTTATTGCATTACTGATACATGTGAATATGTGTCTGTGTGTCAGATTAGGAGGTGAGATGGCTCTTACTACATCCAAGCCCATTAACAGCATGGTAGATTTGGTTCTTATGATCCCTTATTTATTTGTCTCACAGGGATCCATGCTGCTTTAACAGTCTTTATCAGGAGAGCCAGATGCAGCTCCTTTTGGAAGCCTTCACTGTCCCTTTTTCATTAGCTATCCCCTTTTGTTGCTGCTGAGGAGAAGAATAGTGATAAATTCTACAGAGTAATTGTTATACTTTGCTTTCTCTCATGTGCACTGTCTCTGGGTATGTCTACACTCCAGATGCTTTTTTCGGAAAACCTCTGTAGAGGTGTGGTTTGTTTTTTTTTGCTCAAGAACTTTGGTCCCCCCCCCTTTTTTTTTCCTTCAACAAAATTTTTTCCTGGTGGGTTTTTTTTTGGGGGGGGGGTTCGATATTTTTCTTTCAGCCATCTGGCAACCCTAGTGATGGCTGAATCAGCCTATACGCACAGGCTGCCCCTGCCTATAGTCTAGACATAGCCTCAGTGTCAAAGAGTTATTTGAGATAGCAGGAAAGAGAGAGCATAAGCACGAAAATGACTCTGTTGTCTTAGAGCACTGGGAGGTGGGAGACTGGGGATCCAGCCCTCCTGTGCCAGTGACTAATTATTGAGAGTGTGCAACTTCAGGAGGAGAGAAGTTCCACATCAGCATATTCCATAGCCCAGTGGCAGATCCCTTCATCTTCTTAGGGAGAGTTGATCTTGAATTGTGAGTCTCCCGTGCTCTAGAAGAATACCCTAACCATTGGGCTAAGTGTAATGAGGGAAACTGGCCTCTCTTTCCTACTTCTGTCTTTTTTGTGTAAAGTCACCTGAGTGCCCATTAGCTGTGCTCAGAGGCTGTCCATCAGGCCCCACACGTGATTGAGGTAACAGAAAACCAATCTTCCCCTAATCCATGAATTGCTCTGGGAATTACTCGAGCAGGCCCACCAATGTGGTGAGAGCAAAAGCGACCAATGTCCCAAGGCCCATCAATTCAAAGGGCTGGAAGATTCTGGCTACCACCACTGCTGCTGCGGCGGTAGTGTCAGTGGCTGAAGCCCCACTTCCAGGTGTGCTTTGGGAAGTGCTGAGAGCTTCCTGGTGTAAGTGTGACATGCTTTGGCAGTGCTGAGGAAACCTGGGGAGAAGCTAACTTCAGTCTTGCCCCTTCTGGGTGCACAAAGCTTCCCCACCACCTTGCCCAGGAGCCCAGGGAATCTGTTGGCCCTAGCATGGGCAGGCTGTTGGAATGCAGGCACATAGAATCAGGCAGCAGTGGGTATTCTCAGAGGCAGAATCATAGGTGCCTAGGGAAATTTTACAGCAAAATCATAGGAGTGAGTTTGGAAACATGGGTTCAGTGGAAGTTTTGTGCCTAAAACTGGGACTGGCAGCAAATACATATATGAGTGTAAATGTTTGCAGGGAAGGATCATAAGTAGGGCTGACTCATCTAGCATTTAGAAAGGAGTTACCTGAGGTGTGCTGCAGGGAGGTCTGCAGGGAGGTCTGTTCTGTTCTACAACAACAGAAGTTGGAGAAGGGTATTGTGGGATGGGCCTGGAAGGTAGTAATAGCAATAATTCTCTGCCCACATTGGTACTCCAGTTATTCCTGATCCTAAGTGTGGCTATAAAATTTGTATTTATCTTGACTATGTAAATACTCACCTATAATCCACCCATAATCTCCTGCACTGGAGGCAAGAGTACTGTGTCATAATGGCAGGCTGTATTATAAAATACTAGCCACATTTAATGGAATTCATCTTTCTTTCATGAAAAAAAAATTGTCCTTAAAACTGGCTGGCACCTCATTGTTGACAGCATCATCTGCTTGATTCTTTGCAATCAGAAAATCTTGTGATAATCACGGGAAATTATCACATGCCTCTTTAACGTATTCCAGTGAGAGAAATGATGTAAGTGTGGCCTGTTTTGGCACATGATAAAATGATTGAGCTTTTCAAGCACCAAACCCATTTACTGGCCTTTTTAAGAACAGCATTTCACTATTGGATGCTGTTTTCTTTCTAATATGATATCAAACCAGATAACATTAAAGCAAAAAGAGGATTTATCACAAGAGGGTTACAAGTAGCTCAGAAAATTAAGCTTTATGGTTACAAAGCCAAAAGAAGTCAGGCCCCAAATATAAAGAAAAACCTGGTCCTCAGCTGAACGGGTGCTGTAGAATATAAGTAGGAATAGGAGTCTCCCAGCTCAGAAAGTTGGGCCACGATTGCATTCTAGAGCTCTAAACTATACTAGCTTCTGGGCCTTCTAGCCCAATGAGATGTGATCTTCAGGTGAGGGGGAAAGGTACAATCCCTATTGAACATGACTCAAATCCCATTGATTGTGTGGAATTTGAACATTGGTTTTGGTTCCTCTTCCTTCTTGGCAGTATACATTATTTGATAGGGTGTAGGTACTGTCTACCTGTAGTTCCCCTTCAAAAGGGAGTACAAGATGAAGATTATAACAATGCTACAAGGAACAGCTATAGTCTTCATCATGATTTCTGCCTGAAACAGAGCAGAAACAAAGTGCTTAAGAGTGGCTGCTCCCCACTCCTTTTATTAGAGATGTTAGAGTTTAAGTGTTGATGCTGATGCTTATTGGTTACTTAAATGATTAAACTCACCTGATGGGATCCCAACGGCCTCCAAAAATGTACAATAGCAGGCCAGCTGATGGGACTCTGCCTGTGCTCAGGAGCCCACAATGTCAGGTCTAACTGTGGTGGCAGGGTTGGTGGGTGGGAGGCAGCTTGTGGCTGGGTGCCTACAGCCCCAGAGCTGGCTGCAATGATTGGGCTGGGTTCCTGGACCCCATCAGCAGCAGGGCCAGCTGCTGGAACCTCGTTGGTAGCCTGAGCCTCTAGGATCTCTCCAGCAGCCTGGAGCTTGTGGTGGCCGGGGCTGGCTGGGGGGGGGGGGGGGGGGCCCAGTGTGGTGGTAGGGATGGCTGCCAGGATCCCAGGAGGGAGGCCACCTGCTGGACCCAGGAGAGGGGTGGAGCCCACGGTGAGGGGCAGTGACCCTTCCCTACTGCTACATCCCCTAAAACGTTACCTCTCTCCGGGTATGTCTACACTACCACCCTAGTTTGAACTAGGGTGGTAATGTAGGCAACTGGAGTTGCAAATGAAGCCCGGGATTTTAATTTCCTGGGCTTCATTTGCATAAAGCCAGGCGCCGCCATTTTTAAATGTCTGGAGCCCACGGTGAGGGGCAGTGACCCTTCCCTACTGCTACATCCCCTAAAACGTTACCTCTCTCCGGGTATGTCTACACTACCACCCTAGTTTGAACTAGGGTGGTAATGTAGGCAACTGGAGTTGCAAATGAAGCCCGGGATTTTAATTTCCTGGGCTTCATTTGCATAAAGCCAGGCGCCGCCATTTTTAAATGTCTGCTAGTGCGGACTCTGTGCCACGCGGCTACACGCAGCACGGACTAGGTAGTTCGGACTACGTTTCACGAGGAGTAACGGTAGTTCGGACTAGGAAGCCTACTCTGAACTACCTAGTCTGTGCCACGTGTAGCCACGCGGCACGGAGTCCGCACTAGCGGACATTTAAAAATGGCGGTGCCCGCATTACCACCATAGTTCGAACTAGGGTGGTAGTGGAGACATACCCTAACTGATCAAATTTTGATCGGTTACACAGTTAATGTTTTTCTAAGATTTTTACATCCCTACCTCTCATCAGGTCTGACATACCCATTGAATTTCCATGGGATCCCAAATCTGTGTTGTTCAAGCAGCCATTTCAGAAATTGTGCTATAATTGTTTCTGAATTTGGGGAACCATTTGAGCAATGGTACCTTGCTTTTGCTCCCTTCTGAACAAATAGAGGGGAACAGATTTAATCTTGGTCATGCAATTGTGTCATGAAAAGGCACTGACTATAGAGAATGAAACGCTAAGAAAATAAAGTTCATGAATATTTTTAATGTTCTTTTCATCTTTTTCAGATCATGTATTTTAGTTCCCTTTTCCCATATGTGGTACTTATATGCTTTTTAGTCAGAGGATTACTCTTAAATGGTTCCATGGATGGAATTCGTCATATGTTTACACCTAAGGTATGTGCCTATTTTCCATTTCATAGGCATTTAAGACTTCAATGGCAAATTGTTCATTTATGAATTCAGCGAATAACAAAACATTAAGCTCGGCAGCCTTCTCTCAGGGTCCGCTTCTTCTCCTATTATAATTGGAAAATTTCCATCGACTTCAATGGCACACAGTCAGGCCCTTAATGCCTACCTGCTCAGAAATATATATGCAATCTGTTCCTGTTTCTGTACAAGTCAGTCCTACAGTTAAGTGAAAGTAGGACTGGCCCTCACAGATGAATGTTAAATAATATATGATAAAACTGAAGGGACCAATAGGTCCAGAGAAAAATAACAAGAGTATTGCCCTTTGTTTGAATGCCAGGAGCGCCGTCAATAGGCTAAATTACCTTTGTTAGCAATATTATTTTTAAATTTCATGATAGTAATTTAATGAGATTCAGGCCCATTGTACTACTCGCTGTACAAACACTAAGGGTACATCTAGACTAAATCCCTCTTTTGACAGAGGGATGTAAATTAGACACTTAAAAATTGCAAATGAAGCCAGAATTTGAATTTCCCACACTTCATTTCCATAATCGCATCATGGTGCTTTTTTCTAAAAAGCGTTATTTCGAAAGTGAGACCACAATCTAGGTTTACAGGATCTTTTGAAAAAGGCTTCTATTTTTGAAAGAACTGTATCTAGACTGCGGTTTCACTTTCGAAATAGCACTTTTTGGAAAGATCGCCATGATGCGATTATACAAATGAAGCACGGGAAATTAAAATCCTGGCTTCATTTGCAATTTCAAAGTGTCTAATTTACATCCCTCTGTTGAAAAAGGGATGTAGTCTAGACACGCCCATAGTTGCTTACCATCTAAATAGACAAAACAGATGTAGCGTGGTTGTGGAAATTAATGAAAGACAGCCAATTCCCTAAGTTAGCTTACCATCTAAATAGACAAAACAGATGTAGCGTGGTTGTGGAAATTCCAGTCTCTAGAGATGGAAAACCTTAGAGCAGAGAGGATAAGTGACTTGCCCATGGTCGCACAGGAAGCCTGTAGCAGGGGCAAGAACTGAAATGAGAGCTCCTGAGCTGTAGTTAAGTGCTTTAAATATGAGAGTATCTTTTTTTTAATCATAAATACATTCTGGGGCCAGATCGTGAAGGAAGCTAAGCACAACAACTTCCATTGAATAAAAGGGACTCAGCATCTCCATCATGATTTAAAAGAGGTGATGAGCACATGACAAATAGGGTGTGTCTACACTGGCACCCTTTTCTGGAAATGCTTAAAACGGAACAGTTTTCCATTATAAGTATTTCTGGAAAAAGCGCGTCTACATTGGCAGGATGCTTTTCCGGAAAAGCACTTTTTG